CTCACCAAGCTCTATTTTTAACCTCTTACTGTTGTACTCGTGTGTTTCCTTAGGTGATTTCTTGTGATTGCATCAATGCAACTGTCATCTATCACTACAATGCAAGTCCTCCATTTTTCAAGGTTTCCGCTTGAGACTAAAATGCTGAAGTCAAGATGACCTTCCTGAATTTTTGCTATGATTTTATCAGCCTGTCTTTGTATCCTTTCCTGGCATGCCCCTTTAACTGCCATTTTGAATACAAGTTGGGGCATCCATTGGGCACTCATCAATAATCTTATCTTGTATCTTACTGTGCAATTTGTTGTTCCAAGCCGACGATGCCATTTTCAGTTGTCCATACATCTCTTTCTCTCAGAAGTTCTTTCATATATGTCTTTCAGGCTTTCTTCTAGACAACTATGCCCAAAATAGACGGTAAAAAAACCTACGCAGCCTTCCTTCAAAGTTATCTCAAATCCCACTACTTTCATGATGCATTCAGGAAAGTGAGAATTGGTATCGGTCTGCGGCATTTCAGTGGGGAGTGCACTTTTTAACTTAAGTGTAGATTTGTAAATATGTTGTGTGTTACATTTCATAGTCTAGATATATAGTCTATACTAAATACATACTCTAGCTTCACTCTCGCTCCCTTCTTGTTTTTTACTTCAATTTTTCCTATATACATTAAAAGCTCTTTTGCTTTAAGAACTGCCTTTTTGGGTGCACGCAGAAACCAGTACAATATCCCATGACACCGCAAATAATACTAATATTTTTTTTTTTAGCTCTACTCACATGACACTGATGAGATTTACACAACACTGATGAGCATATACACAACAATAAGACTCAGTGCTAAATAATGCGATGGCAAAAAAGTAATTAAGTTCAAAGATGTCAGATGGCTTGAGGCATCAATATTGTGGCATGTCAGCCCATTTCATCGCATTAAAATAATGTAAAAATATAGTTTGAAAACCAAACCTATGCAGTATTGTACACTTCAGTCCAATAAAAATCTTTTCACAATCAGGATTTCACCCCTATTTATAGGATAGTGATGCAGATAGAGATTCCCAGTGCTGCCAGTCAGAGATGCATATATCAGGAGAGGAAAAGGGGATGGAGAAGTACTTATGTTCTGTGTACATACAATGCCAGCCATAATAGGATCACGATTAACCACTAGGTCACTCAGGTGCGATGACAGTGAACAGGAAAAACAGTTCAAGATGGTTAGGGAATATTTTGAATTTAATTTCTTAAAGGTGTGAGCACACCAGGCCATTTCACATCAGCATATTCTAATTTTATACAAGACCAAAAAATATAAAGCTCAAGCCCACTGGATTGCATAACTTACAAATCACTTCAAGGGAGTTCAGTGTGAAAGGTGATATGAAAGTGTAAGTCGTTAACCACCGTTGCAGCTGACTGAGTGTTTTGTTTATTCTCTAACCAGATTCTGCTTCAGGAGTCTGTACCACAACTAATTAACCATAATGCTTTATAATTGTATAAACAGAATATATAACAGATCTGTATGATATATAATTAATTCTGCCCTTAAGGAAAGCTTTTCTAAGTCAAACCATGTGCTGTCTGAGAAGTGTCTCTTTATGTTCTTGCTTATACGGTAGGCATATTTCCCTGCCAGCAGAGCCTGGGGAACATTCTAGAAAATAATGTTCGTTAAGGCCAGCCAGGTGTTTTCTTGCAGGACTGACTACTGGGAGCCCCATCTCCGAAGCTGAGGTGGTTTCAGCTGCCTCTGCTCCTTCCTTTCTGCAGCCAGCAGTGAGGAAAGGGCCTTCTGTACAGAAATCTGCCTGGTTTAAAAAACATCAAGCTCACATGCTGTTGTCATGCAGCGGTTATTTGTTTAATCTTGAGTTTAATCGGCTGCACTTTTCTGTATTTTCATTTTCATGTGTATTAAATTCTAGCCTCAACTCCACTATTGCTACTGGACCCGCAAGACCAGAGAAAAGCCTTCCCCCCCGCCCCCCCCCCAATATTTTGTTTCTGGATTATGAACCATAAATAAGCACAGCCCAATGTGGCTGGAGGACCACTGTTCTATCTGGTGTTTCACGTGCTTGTCTACCTGTGAAAAAAAAAAAAAAAATACATGCAGGAGTTCAGGAGACCTGGGGGATCAGACACGTGATTTCACCAGATGAGGCAACATCCGTCTTTAAGACCCATTCAAGCAAAGGTGTGGAAGTGCCATGTCACCCTTATGTGGAGACCAAAGCTTTGCGAGTCCCAGGCTGTGACTTGTAGAGAAGTCTTGGAACACCAGGCTTAGCAGAGCTGATGCAGTCCAGTGAAAGAATCCACTGGACTGTTTTCAGAGAAAACCTGCCATTGTAAGATGCTAATCAGAGCTAGCAGCCATCCAAGCATCCCAAGGTGGGAAACTCCCATCTACCTCGTTCTCTGCTGATGGTCTAGTTGGAGATCCATTTCTAAGGACCACTGTGCCTTGGGGCATTGGTTCATGCTTTGGACATCTTAAACGTACATGATAAAATAAATTAATATGAAGATAAGTTGCTTGCTGAAAGAAAGGAAATAAAAAGAAAGAAAAGAAGAAAAGAAAGAAAGTGAGCAAAGAGCAGAAGCCTCCTTGATCTAGCCACGACTCGGCTGAACAGGAGGCACAAGTTCACATTACACTCCTCTGGAATGATAATCACACCCTTCCTCAAGCCTGACACACCACTGGGAGGATTCCCTTTGCATGGCAGCCTAGATCTTTCCCACTGATAAAGCTGCTGTGTATGAGAAATATTTGGCAGAACTGTCACCATACACACAAACAGAGGAGCTGACTCTCCTAACCTCAGAGGTTCAGTATGGAGAGTAGTCTGTACCAGCTTTTGTGCCCTCCAGATCAACTCCACAGATCACCTATGTAACTTGTAAAACAAAACACACAATTTCCTTGAGGAGCTCTGAGGTAGTTTCATTCATTGACATCCAAACCTTTTGAGGTAATATTTTTAAGGTAACAAGGTTTTTCTTCCTCCATTGCTTTCCCACCCACATCCACTTCTGAATTCACAGCTGTCTTCTGTCCCCTTGTGAGCTAAGAAGTCACAAAAAAATTCTTTTTTTCTTCTTGTTTCCAAAATTAAGAGATACAGCTTCATCTATCCTTGCATGATCAACTGCACTTTTTACTCCCTTTCTCTATACTTTTTCCAAATACATTTTCTGTTTAACATTCCCTCTCACATAACAGAGATACACCGTCTGCTGGAAGAGCCAAACCTGTAACTCAGTACTATGTAAGAAGGTCTTCTCCTTGACACATTTCATCCTGGGCTTATAATAACTGAACAAGTACATCAAAGAGTTCAATTTCTGCATGACGACACTGATTTCAGCTGTTTGTTTGAATGTAGTAGTTATGTCTCCAGAAATAGTGGTTACATTATATCTCAAGCATCAGGGAAATTATGTGTGCTCAGGTCTACCTGGCTGGCCAGTCCAATTTTGCACATGACAAGCTTGGAAAGAATTTCTTCAAGTAATGTGTGGGCTTTTTTGTCATTAAGACTATGAAGAATCTGAAGACATTATCTAGAAGACGTACTTCACTGGAACTGTCCTGATCTCTCAAATAAAGAAGTCTCCTTCTGGGCAAACAACTCATACAGATAGATTTGCCAAATAATACTTTTCTTTCCAAGGATCCCTAAATCTCAGATTACTCTTGAGAGTAATAAATGTTGCAATAATGCTGTTCTTGATTACAGGCAAGACTATAACAGCTCTGACTGGTAGTGATTCCACAATTATGTTTGATTACAGATATACTCCTACTGTACCGATGCAAAGGGATTATTTGTTGCCTTCTGTCAGTCCCCTGGATTCCACTGGAGACCAAGAGCATGCCATGCCAGCACACACAACTTACTCAGCTGCCTTTCTCAGAGCTTTGTCACCAAAACATAGCATTTAATAGCAGGACCCGCAATAAGTGGGCATGCAAAACCTTTGATGGAACTGTAATTAAAATACTATGTAACTATATCAGTGGTGGCCACTTTCTAAGAGGCTCCTGAATTTCAGCAGTTCTTGAGGGCTTGATCTTGGAAAAAAACTTTTACTTCACAGTGCAGGGGCTAAAGTTACTCGTGTCTTTACTATATTACCATTACAGCAAGAACCAAAATGACAATGAGAAATAACCTATATCTATAACATTGTCCATGCTTTCCACTACTAGAGAACTTAAAAAAGGAAAAGCTCCATTAAGTCAAGTAGCCCTCCCTCTGTCCGTGAACACCAAAAAAAATCATGCTTTACAATTTATACTTCAGTGCTTTGTTTATTCGGTATTAAATGACTCATGGAATAAGGTTTCCAACTGTCCCTCTGGGAGATTATCCCAGCTGCTGAGACCTACTACCAGTTCCCTTTCCTTTGTCTCTCTTTTAATGATGCCTAAGTTTTGCATTCTATTTTAGTTTGGGATGTAAAAGCTACAAAGGAAATTCACATCCCCAAACCTGCTTTTAAATGCAATTAAGGCTGTGACTTGAACCCACAAACTCAAGGAAACATGCAGTTAAAACAGCAATGCATCATATATGTCACTTAAATACCATGCCGCCTCAATGGTACACTTTTAAGCTAACTGCACGCTTCCTTGTTTTTACAGGTTTGTTCCTTAGTGTTATGTAAATGCACTTTTATTGTATGTAAATTAGCATCAGGCAAACTGTTAAAGGCTGTTTTATAGCTGTCACACCAACAAACCACATTTACAAGTAAATATTTGTTCTACAGGCGAACATATTACCTGCCTGGAAATAATAATTATTTCCAGCATTTCGTCTCAGTGCTGTGACTCTGCTCTGGCCCTGTAACCTGCTGTATGCACAGACGCTCTCAAAATGGAACATCCTTATTAAGAGTATGTTGCTTACGGAGTAGCAAACCCTAAAATTCTTTAGACAATGTGGTACTCTCATACATTTTATTCTTATTCTTCTCACCAGGCTGCAAAAAGTATTTAACAAGAGGATATTCTCCTGCTTTGAAGATGTGGAGACAGCATGTGTACTTCCCCGTGGTGGTTGTGGAGTCCACTGTGTCACTCAACAGCATCCCATTTGGCTGGTAAAGGAACAGTGGTGACAAGCTCCAAATAAAGCCCAGTGCTGTTTGTTGTGCCGAGGAAGAAAGATGGTGGTGAACAAGGCTTTATTTGTGAGAAAAAGTAAAGTAAGATAGAGAGGTAAAAGAAATTCAGAGGAGGGCTCTCTGAAATGGAAAGTCGGAGTTCCCAAACGCTCACATTTTAAATCAGTATTGTCAAAATAGACCTGTATTAACACCAGCAAAAACCTAACAGCTAGGGCACCAGTACGGGCATTCATGGCTAATGCAATTCAAGAAGAACAACAAAAAACTCAGATATAGACCGAATCAAGACATCTTAATGGAAAGATGTCAGGGGCTCTACTATCAAACACTTATAACTGTTTTAATGGATCGTAATGGCTTCAAATCTGCCTCGTTAAGGTGACGCTGCTCATTTAAAAAGTAAAATACCATATAAATCAAAGTACTATACAGCACGTTTGTGCTTTCCCAATATCCTTAGCAAGGTAACTGCTCACATGAAATGGTGCTTTTCCTTTCATTTACTGCATTTGATATGATTAGTAATAAATATAACAATATAAATATATTCAAATTGCTTCTGGTGTTTGCTTACTGTTTCTGTCTTTTCCATTCAAGGTACCGTTGCTGTACGTACTCAACATGGAGCACCTAAGCTACCCTGAAAACATAATACGTTTCCTCACAAATGGTTTTATGATGTAGCACAAGTGTTTTATAAATATGAAGAATTATTTTATAATGTCCTTGCAAAATGTACTGTTGCATTATTTAGCTATTATTATTTATAGTTTAGAGGTAAGACACTGGCAAGGGAAATTAAGGTAAAAAATATTAGAAGTGTCCATTACTTTTTGATACCTCAGGTTATCAGAACACTTAGCATTTAACACTCTGTCATTAATTTAATGCACCGTATCAATCAGCTTCACTTTGGTGTTCAGCAGCCCCACAAATTTGGCCTCAAGTGTCCTCATACCGATTGCCTACAAATGGAATAAAGGGAAAACAAACCTGCAAAAGCCCTCAGCTGCTCCTGTGAAAGGACTTGGGTTTAGTCCCAGCCGTACCGATTCTTTTTTTTTTTTCCCAGATAACGAGCTGGGGAAAAGGCATGGAGGTGGTGATTGAGTCAAGTGACTAAACTCGAAACAGTAATGTAGGGCAGGGTTGCAGGCTGGAGAAAACTCAGCTTCTCACGGAGTACAGTCTGGTGCAGTTGACTTGTCAGCTAAAGGAAAGTGTTGAATGGAATTACCTGTACCAATGGAGAGACAGAAAACTTCAGACTGAATGAGGAGCCTGGAAAGAAGAAGGATTGGTGATTTTAGCTGTGAGTTGAATGTTTGCCTTTATGTTAAACCAAATGCCTAAGGAATACATAATTCAAAAGTCCCAAGTGGTTGGCCTGTTTTCCTGGAGAAGAGGATGTATCAGCAGGTCTGATTCCAGATAAGACAAGATTTTGTTATAACAAAAGTAATGGTTAATGGGCAGGTTCTGGTTTAAGTGAGTTATTCAGTATCACTAAAAAGCTTCTGGCAGATGGGAAAAAAAGACAATTATCCAAAATGGCATTCAGCTTTCTTAAGGGAAAATCTTGCAGTTCTTATTCTGTAGTTTCCTGGCTTGTTCATTATGCAGTCCTTACTCATAGCGACAATCCTACTGAAATACATTAACCAGTAGCATTTGACTAAAAAGACAGCACTATAACACCTTTTTGCTGAAATTCGATGCTAAACTTAATTCTGAAATTTTCCAGTTTGTGAGTATTCATAAATTCTAATTTGACCTACTATAGTGTTTGACTCCATAGGTCTAACATTCCTTTACTTAATGCTCTTTCCCCATCTCCAGGGAAACAAAGACATGAGGAAAGGAGATCTAACGCCTAACCACATGTTTGGCCCTAAATTGGATGACCAGCAACAAGAAGGTAAGTCCCCAGTAGTGGGTTTCCTTTTGCTGTTGGAAGATAACTCGAGCATGTAGAGACCTGAAAGTCATCATGAGTTGGAAGTGCTGTAAGTGGCACTGAATGGGGAGACAGAAGTTTTGCCTGCCTCCATCTGCCCCGTTTCGGCTCCTGCTCACCTTTATTCTCTGTGCCTCAATCCTGGACCTCCTATCCCATTCCCAAATACCTTCCTTCATTTTTATAATTTTTTTTTTAATGTCTTGTCCCAGTTCTCCCTCCTTCCCATTTCACCCGGACTTCTCAACTCCCACCTCTTCCCTCATGAGTGTCAACAAAACCATCAGTGGGGATAATGACTTTGTATATGACTGGAGAATTGAAGGGCACAATTGCAAGGTGAGACCCAAGAAGCCTTCGGACAGAGAGTGCTCAGCTGATCTGAGGAGATGATATCTGTGCCATCAAACATTTGGAAGCTGTGAGAGAATGGAGCGTGGTTGATGAAGGCCATGACCAGCTGTCAAAAAAACTTGTAGTGAAAATAATTCCACATATTTTGCTTTTCCCATGGCTGGCTTTTTTCTAGCTAGAACTTTTTTTAAAGGCAAAACAGGCCAAAAAACTAAACCAACATTCTCACAACTGGAGATAGAAATTTTCTAGGAAAATTTGCCACTCCTGCTTCAGCAGAGCTACTCAGCGGCAGAAAGCAGCATTTCACACAGGGGCCCTAATTACAGGTGGTGCTCCTGTTCCTGCCAAGGGATGCTGCAAGTGCACAGTGACAAGCTTAGTTTAGACCCAGTTTAATTATTTGAGAGCTACACCTTGGGTTGTTTGGAGTTGTTCTCATCTTCAGCTGGAGCTAATGCTTTCTGGTCGTCTCTTCCAGAATATTACTGGGATGTAAGTACTTCATCTTGTTATTCCTCTCTTCCAAAACGTACTATTCCCAAGTGTATATTCAGTACAAATAAGCGAAATACAGGGAATGGATCTGAAGATACGTGAAGATAAATGCATCCTTTCTCATTACTATTTTGTGTTAGTGTGCTATGTGAAAACCTCAGAGAGTCACAAAGGACTTGTTTCTAAGTGGAATGGGCAAAGGGCAGCAAAGAAAACACAGACAGAGGGAGATAAGAGAGAAATAAAAATAATGAAACAAGCAGGTAGATACACTGGAAGCAGAGTATTGATGGCCTTACACCCAGGTAAGTGCCTAGAAACAAAAGATATGTCCAGATTTGAAGAGTTTTTCCTCTCTAAAACCTTCAAGCAGGAACAAACTAAAGATTAGGATTACGCTGTGTCTAGCAACTGCCTAAACCCTCTCGGTTTCCATGGCTCATGGCACTCAAGTAAATCTGTTTCTGCCCTCGAGAGATGAACTCATTAGTAATTGATCATAGCAGGAGAGATGTGTGTAGCTTTGGTCCACACTTGCCTGTCGTTGCCCCACTCCTTGAGTTCACTCCCTTGCTCCCACGCTCGTGCTGTGATGTATAATTTCCACTGCTTTCAGGATGTCTCTCCCAGAAGCTGTGCTAAGAATGCCCGTGTCTCCCAAAAGGATTTAAGTTTCAGAAATATCCCTTACCTCCAGTGTAAACTCTCTTAAGCACATGCTATCTGACAAGGTAGCTTCTTAAAATGGAAATGAGAAGTAAGAAACGCCTCTTATGCAGCTTTTGAAAAGCCACCTCAAGGTATTTAAGGCAAACATGGGTTTTTGAAAGATAGCAAGCTTCTGATAGGAGCTCAGTTTTTGCTTCACTTTCCCTGTTATATCTTCCCCTGAATGTTACAGAGCAATGGTATTCCCTGAGGGAAGTACTCTGAAACCTAGACCAAAAACATAATGAAAAATTCAGCAGTTGGCAAACCACTTTAAAATACAGAAGAATACTTTCTTCATCTCTTCTGAAATCAATTTCCTGGGCACATGGCACAGTGTTGTTATACCATGTATGCTAATTCTCATTAAGAAAGGGATGAAGACTGAAATAACTTTTGGGGAGCAAATTCTTCCCTGTACAGCTGTTGATGTGTCTGGTAACAGTTTGACTGGAAGTGGCCCCAGTGGATCTTCTTCGCTTGTTTTGAAGACTGTGCAGGTGATGTGTCAGTTCAATTAGGACTGTAAGGTTACAGCATGGTCACACTTTGTTTGGCAAGGAAGACTTATTACTGGTATTTTACACTGCCGTGTCCTATGGTTTGAGGGGTTCTTTTTGTATTGGGGCTTGTGGGATTTTTGTGTGTCACATCTTTACCTTTTCTTTATGCATCTGTTTTTCTTATTCAAATATCTCACTTGTTTCGATGGGGAAGAACAAGATGGAATTACCTGCAGGGATTGTAGAATAGTGTCTAAACAGCTAAATTCAAGCATTATAATAGTTCATCTTTATTTTAATCTGATGTAACCCTGAGCACTGCAATGTATCAGTTATTGCCCTGGTCAAAGATGCACCTTTTCTCTCAGCTGACACCAAATGATTTTTGGTTTGTAAGACATTACTGTAACAGCAATGTTATCTGACAAAGCTACAGATAGACGAAAACGTGCTTACTGTTCAAAACACACTGGTGTGAGCAGACTACTTCTTTCCAGCCATTTTGATACCAGTGCAGTGAAGGAGAAAAAAATCACCTAGATAGACTTCATAAGCTGTGATTAAGCACAGCACAAAATCCTTGGGGGAAAAGTGTCTACACCGCAGTTATACAAACAAATTTGGCTCATGCTAGCAGAAAAAAAAAAAAGACTGGAGCAATGGAAAAATACATGGTTGCTGATTTTTCTTAAAATTAATTTATATGAGCGGCTTTGTTGCGCGAGCACATGTTCATGTGAATGTGAGGTGTATTATTCCAAGCCTTTCTGTAACATAACCGCGGCGACTGCATCACATGGTGCTAGTGCAAACAAAGTCTCGTTAACAGCCCATGAATAGATGCATTTTCCTAGAATACAGTTTCTCATTGGGAGTATCGACTGGTTCCTGGGCTATCAGGGGATAAGGATAGGCACAGACAGCTTCGGAAGTATAGAGTAAGTGTAGTCAACCTGAAGTGTGCTACCAGACAATTATGAATGTTTATCATATGATCAAAACCAGTACAAGGGATATAGTTAATTCTGTGACACTTTTGCTTGATTACTGATTGACTGGCAGGCAGTATCTTAGACAGCAGAATATAGCTTGTTAACAACCAGCCATTCTACTTCTATCTCTATTCTACGTGCTTTTTGTTCTCTTACAGCCTGTACTTTAAACCTGAGAGGCCATCACACTGAGCTGGCTTCCTCCACGAAGCAAGACTCGCTGCGTTTTTCCTTCACCTCCATTAGCATCCTATTTGCGTCAGATCCAACATAAACACTGCTCTCTTCATGGACGCAGCTCAACTTATCTTTCTGATCTTATAGCCATTTATTTTCTTAGCTATTAAGCTACTCATTTTAATCTTTTTCTTTCTGTCCCATTGTCTCACGTTATCAGTTCATCTAGTGGGAGCTCTTTCTCCTAGAACAAAAGCACTTTTCTTAGCATCGCTGTAAAACTTTTTCTTTTCCTCTTGACGTTCCCTACAAAGTGCTTTTTGGACACACATGAGGAAAAAAAATTATATAAATTCCATATACACTTATATGAAACGATGAAACTACACTTAATTTGAATTGGAAGAACATCTTGATCTTTTAGCAAAAGGAAAATTACAGTAAAGCCTTGACAGCCACACATAAGGGATGTGAATAAACTTTGTTGCAGGTGATTTTGGCTCCCTTTCTGAGCCTTCCCTGCATGGACGTGGAGGAATTGGGTTAGAGATACAGTTTTCTGGGGCTGGCAGTAGCACAGGGCTCGGCTCAGAGTACCGGCCCTGTAGTATTAAGGCAGCATCTTTGTAACGTCAGCCTGAAACCCAAGAGCACACCCTGGCACCTCACTGAGTCCCCCGCGCCGCTGCTGTCCTCCTTTTCCACCCCCAGCCAGTACAGCCCAGTACTCCCAATATACTCAGCCCCGGACAGCCCACCGCAGCGCCTCCTGGAGGCCCCCCCCCCCGGCCGGGAACCCGCCGAGGAGGCCACCT